CACCCCAAACACCCGCGGGGCCCCCCCCCCCCCCCCCCATTCAAGCTCTGCTGGGTGTGAACAGCCGCCCTGGCGCTACGTCCGCAACGGGTCTCTGCTCCGAATATGCAGACGAGGAGGTTTGGCCGTGGGAGTTGGGGATTTTTGGTTGGGGTTTTTTTTTTTTTGTTTGTTTGCTTGTTTCTTTTTTTAAAATGTAGAAGACAACGCATCACTGCCACTGCAGCGATGGATTCCCTCTCGTTGACGAGGCTGACACGTAGCCCAGGCAGCGCTTTGCAGCGTGCCTGTTGCTGATCCCAACGCACCTGCTCTTCTGGGTGGGTTAATGCTTGTTCTTTCCTGAGCTCTGGGGCACTGGTGGCATTTGACTTTGCTCAGTTCTTTTTGGTTTTGGGGGTGTCATACTTCCTCTTGCTCGAGTACCACAGCAGCAACGGGATCCCGATGGAGGGCAGGGTCATCACGCCAAAAGCTGCCCAGTCCAGCTAGAAGGAGAAATTGTTAGAAGTCAAAACAAACCATGTACAGATGAGTCTGACAGCCATCAGATCTTCTACTCTCAAAGCTTCTGGCTCAAATCCCACAGTGCCAGCTCCTTCACAGAGGTAGCTGGGATGAAAACTCTTTTTTTGTGATACTCTTCTGGACAACTGATACGGAATAATTGCAATCTACATTGGAGCTTTCCCGGTGACTGTAGTACAAACCAAACACGCCGCAAGCTGGCAAAAAGCCGCTGTGCTGGGGTCGCACAGTTGCTGCAGTACAATTTCAATTTCCAACCGTGAGGTACTTACAAAGTGAGGGGAGAACCTCCTGTCAAACTCACGCTGAGCCAAGATTCCTCCCTGCCCAGGAGCACTAGTGAAACCAACCTGAAAAAGGCAAGGGGAAAAAGATTTTGCCACCTTTCCTTCTTGCAACAGAGCCTGTGCAGTATAAGAGCGCAAGGACACGCACCATCTCCCAACAAGCAGCTCGAAGAGCGCGGTCGGGTGTATCTGCTGTCCGATTTGGGCAAGGATCCTATAAAGAGTCAACTCACCACAACCTGTCCCCCCTCCTGTGCCAGGTACGTGATGGTAGCAGAGGTGAAGTTGAAGTAACCAGCTTTGAGAGGCCGCAGGACCACAGTGTGGGACACATTGCTCGCTCTGAGGGCCGTAAGTTAAGGAAAATAGTTGCATTTCGGCAAAGGAAAAAAAGTGCGGAGGTAGGTAGAGAGCGGTCTCGAACCAAGTGGAAAAGTCCCTCCTGATGACAGATCCGAGTCCTCTGGTTACAGACATCCAGACCCATCCAAGGCGGATCCAGCTGCTCCTTCCCAGGCAGAGGAATTCCACAGGGCCCTAACCCTCTTTGCAAGGAACTTTTTTTTATTTTACACAGCACCTTCAAGGAGAACAGAGGTTTGCATTCAATACCCTGCCCAGGGTCTGGCATGCTGGAATTTCAGCGACAATGAATGAAGACAGGAGAGCTACAGGATGCTTGGGGGGGGAAGAAGGAGCGTTGGGAGAAATTTCAAACCATGAAAAAGATACGGAGCGATCCTGTCCCACTTGACGTTGAGCATCCCAGAGACAATGCCAAAATCTTCGGGGGGGAAAGAATCATCCGACAGCTCCACATCTAAAGCAGCGCTAAAGGCGAGAAAGAGGTGAGAAGAGAATCTTAGACTTGGCATTCTGCTCACGGGAGACGGCACCAAAGAGCGATGACGGTTCCATACTGACAATTCAGCAGCTGGAAGAACTGATTTTTGAAATGTAAGAAGGCGCTAGTGGAAGATGGGGAGGAAAGTCGAGGTGTATTACAGGGAGACTGCAGAAAGAGGAAGGCAAAGCTGAGAGAAACTGCAAAAACAAACAAACAAGACGGGAAACCAGATGAGGAAGAGCTCACAAAGGCAAGAAAGGGAGGCTGCGTGCATGGGGAGCGGGGCGACACAAGACACAAAAGTAACTACACCACGCTGGGCCAACAGCTAGAGCAGCCACGAGGCGAAAGCAGGGACAACGGAACAGGAAGAAAAAGGCAAATTGCAGGGTCAAACCTTCACGCAGCAGCGGTAAGCTCGGAGTTAGGGGGAGCAAAGGTAACAGCACATCGTGGAGCCGAGAAATAGCCTCAGACACACGCACGCGACGTTTGCTCCTGGTCAGCATCAGAAGCCTGGGCAAGGCTTACCTGGAGCCAACGTTGTAGATGTTGTACTGCAAAGTCAAGTCCTTGCCCTCCACCGCGTATCTGTTTAAGAGAGATTTGGAAGCCAGGAGCCTGGCGCCTTCCTCACAGTGGGCCACGTAAAACAGGGCAAACACGGCAACAATCGGGAGCTTCATCTAGAAGCCAAAGAAAATGGAATGTCATTGATAATTTAATTGCAAAAAGAACACGAACAGGACAACTAAAGAAGGGAATGCGGGCATTCATGTGTAGTGAGACACAAACAGCTGTAGAATTCACAGCAATATTGATCAAGGATTATCACAAGCTGGCAGAAAGTTACCCTGGCTCCACGCAAGCCTGCAACTGCCCCTGAAATGCCTGTACGCTTTCCTGCGAGGATTTAAGAAGTGGCACAGCAGCATCCCAGATCTGCAGGCATGGAAGAAGAGAGGACGGGTTTTCTCCCTTCTCAAAGCCCCAGCAAGTATCACTCCCCTTTATCGCATCTCAGCAATTGGCAAAGGGCTGGGATCACAAAGCCTCTTCAGAGCAAAAAGCTTTGGCAATTAACGGTTTCAGCAGGTTTAGCAATTAACGGTTAATTGCCACTGCAAAGCACGGCAGCTTTCCAGCACTGTCTTACACAACAGAGTCAGCTCTTCTCCCCAGCAAATTCTCTGTTCTTCCCATGAAGTACTAGCTCCTTTCCAACATTTGTTATTCTTTCCCATTTCCAGCCACCGAGGTACCACCAACTCCCTCCAGCGGCCTTTTGGTCCCCAGAAGTCCTTGCTTCAGGCCACGTGTCCCAGTTCCCCCAAAGCCCAGCATCTCCGGAGCTGCCTCGCTGGGAGGACAAGGAAACCTCGCGGTCAGTATCTACGCAACCCCTTAGAAAACTTGGTAGTGCTTTTAAATGCAAAAACTGCTCACAGGTCAGAGGACCTTCCCCTCCCCTCAGTACTCCCCAGCATTTCCACCCCAGGCTGCTCCTACCCATCCGCACAGCCCTGAGACCCAAAGGAAAGCGCAGAGATGCCACAGAATCGTTTAGCTTGGAAAAGCCCTTTAAGCTCATCGAGTCCAACCGTTAACCCAGCGCTGCCAAGGCCACCACTGAACCATGTCCCCAAGCACCACATCTCCCCGGCTTTTAAATCCCCCCAGGGGTGGGGACTCGCCCCTGCCCCTGGGCAGCCTGGGCCAGGGCCTGACAGCCCTTTGGGGAAGGAATTTTCCCTAATACCCAACCCAACCCTGCCCTGGCGCAGCTTGAGGCCGTTCCCTCTCGTCCCAGCGCTTGT